CCGTGTTTGTTTTTAAAGATGCTAAAGTATGCTGAAAACAACCAAGAATTATCAAGAGTGTTGGGTGTTTGGCGTCCGTCTGGGTTCGGCATGAGGCTTTAATTTTTGGGGATTTTCTTCTTTTTTCTCTTTAATGTTTTAAGAGCATGCAAGTCCTTGATCAAACATAATAATTCCTTTTTTTTTAAAGTTTATTTTAACACGATATGTATTTTTAGAATTTCTGCGTGTCATGTTTAACAACTGCATTTCTGGTATTTTTCTTGGGAAAGTACCATTAAATGTAACAATTCTGCAGAAGTTACGTCCCATTAAGTTCCCTTTTTTCGCATTTGGAAACCTTTTTTAATCTCTCCCTTGATACTCAACTAGTATACAATTATGACATGGGACATTGATAAAAACTGCGAGTAAGACATTCAGTTATCTTTTGTCCTCACAAAAAATGACTTTGTCAACCGTGGGCTATATTGTATAGCACTGTTATCATCAATCAAACAAAATAAATTAAAAAAAAAGGCTTTACTACGGTAATACAAACATATTCTACATACTGTAGTGTTTCCTGTCAAATGGGAAAAACCATTAGCTTAATTTAGTTCAATGCAAATAAAATTAAAAGTGGAATCATTTTACTAAGACACTTACGCTGAACCATAACATAGACCAGGGGTCACCAACCTTTTAGAAACTGAGCGCTACTTCAAGTGCACTTAGTAATACCAAGAGCTACTTGTTTGATATAGACTTCCTGTTCTGGGACATACAACTGTAGACACTCTTCTTACCATCTGAATATCACTGCAAGTGGAGCTGATTCAAAAAGCACAGTAACAGTACAATTTTTGACCCTCTTGTTGACTAGTTTTATATTTAGAACATAACCTAAGGTAGTCCACAGGGTCTACCAGGTCCCTCTGGACACCATGTTGATGACCCCTGCCATAGACCTAACATAAAACTGGCTGTAACGCTATGCTGGCAAAAGACATTTGCGTTCTAAAAACGTTATAGAACAATTTTGTGAATTCCTCCTTCATCAAAATAAATAAATAAAATAGCCAATATATTAAATCATTGATCATGTGCTGTATACAGGCTGAGATCATATCTGTTTTGTTAGTTTTATGGGGTTTTTTTCCCCTGCTGACTGGTCATGACACAGGGGCATAGGTTCAAAATATTTCCTTCGTCCATTAAAATGGAATTTCATTTTTGTTTGTCGCCTGCTCCTCTTAAAACTTCTCATCAGCCTCACACGTAATACTTCCCAACGCCTCATAGGTCACAGGATAAAACGCCTCTCTTGGGCGGATGTCCAGCGATTGGACAGCCTTCTCTGTATCCGCCCATTTTTCCCCCCTCGACTGGGATCTGAGCTCTCATTGGTCCGTGCGACCGATCGTGGCTGTGCGTCTATAGCAGGACATCAGCGATGACTTTTCCGGCTTGCTTCTGATTGGTCGGTGCCTTGTTCTGACATCAGAGTCCTGCCAGCTGATCGGAGTGAGAAGCCGGTTTGAAGAGAGGAGTTGGACCAGAAAGAGAGACGGATAGAGAGAGGGAGAGGGAGATCGGGAAGGGAGTCCTCGGGAGCCAGAGACAGCGCCTGGTCGGAGAAGCCAGCTGGATAATCAGAACGTTTTGGTCTGGTTTCCTGTAGAAATTGCTTGATGGGCAAAGAGCCGCAGTGTAGTCAGGGGGAACTTGGGCGCCTCGTCGAAATCTCTGGAAGTGTCAGGAAAAAATGATTGAGAGTTAAGGTGTGGCTGAGCGTCTGTGTCACGCTTCTGAAGAAAAAAAATTCTTACCAAAAGCCGTCGTTTCTCCTCGTCGGTGAGCAGTCAGGATATGAGTCTTAGCTGAACCAGTGGCTTTACGGTCTTTTTACTCGGTGACGATATTACATAACAGATGTCTTGTCATCTTGATGGGCTGAATCATCCGTTATAGACCAGGGTGATGGGACTTTTGCGCACTGGAAGAATGAGGTCGATTATTGGTTTCCCTTTTTTTTGTCCGGGTTGATATTTGGTTCGGTTTTAGGAGGTGTGTGTGTGTGTGTGCGTGCGTGCGTGTGTGAATGTAAAGGACGTGGCAACTTTACAGTAGCCTGCTCTGCCGAATGCCACAGACAAACTGGGCGTGGGGTAGAAGAGTGTGAACATAACCTAATGATAATCCTCAGATCTGAGCCTCAAACTACGCGTAATTGGCACAGCGAGCAGCGCCGGCGGAGCCTGTGGATCCATCTCAGTCTAAGTAAGTACGACTGTCCATATCCCTTCTGAAAACTTTCTTAAAAAAAAAAAAAAAATAGAGCCAACACGAGTCAGGAAGCGATAGGTTTGGAGGCTAAGGCGTTCAATTTCTTTCTTTAATTTATATAAATTTTTAAAACTACCTAATAGAAGCTGCAATAGCGCGACAGCGTGTACATGGAGCTATCCAGGCCTGTATACGATCTATATAATCCTGACTGCGATACAGCCTGGATATGATGGGGAGGGTGTGTCGCCTTTGCCAGGCAGGCAGGCTCTTAGGGCGTTGAATGAATCTAAATACAGCAGGGAGAGAAGGGAGGAAGGGAGGAAGGAAGGAAATAAAGAAGGAAGGAAGGTAAGCGCATGAAGAGTTGGTGTCTACAGCAGTAGTGTGTATGTGCGTGCGTGTGCGTGCGACTTGTCAAAGAACCATCCGAGCACTCATTGTGTGGTGATGAGACGCGTTTTAACTCAATCATAATTGAGTGCGCCGTCACACTGACCCGTTCTGCAGCCTAATTAAGATAAGCTCTCAAAGTCCAGAGAAAAGCAGATAGAAAGAATTCCTTAAGGCCCCACCCTTTGCAGCGCAACATGAATGTGGAGAGTTGCGCCCCCCCCTCTCTCTTCTTTTCCCTATGTCTCTCTCTCGCCCTCTCTCTCTTTCCCCGCGTCATTAATTTCCCCTTTCAGGCCTGTCTTATGTCCTTTTTCCACAATTCAGTTCATCCCAATGCCTAGGTTTTTTTTAAATTTTCTTTACTTACTAACTTTAACACTGTCATGATCTGCCACCAGGACTCCCACAGGTAAGAGTTGACTTTTTATAAATAAAAAATAAAAATAGGAAGTTCATTCAAGTGGGTAGTTTAAATGTCAAGTGTTATTTAACTTGTTTTTATTGCTTATCTTTTTTTTTTTGTTTTTTAAACATGTCAGCAAGGTTGCTGCTCCGCTCTTATCAACCTGTTGCCAACTTAAACAGACTATGTAAACTGTCACTCACCTTGCAGCGTATTTCCTATGGGTTGTTAAGTATGTAAATGCATCGTACAGCAATGTCAAACATTTTTGCCGTGCAGTCTCTTTAAAAAGAATTCCGCATTAGCTAGCCACCCCGCTAACATTAGTCAGATTACTGTATACATACTTGGGTTCAAAGCTCATTCTTCTTTTTTTTTTTTTTTTTTTTAGAGAAAGCAGATTTTTATCTGCAAAATGAAAGCAAAGATGTGGTCTCTACTGATGATTTAAGGTTTGATTTTTGCACACATGTAGCAGATGCTGTTTCCCACATGGACCGTAGGTTCGTGAGAGATTCATTTAGTGGGTTTTTGCTTGTGAAAAGTAAAGCCGTGGCCTTATCACGCTGCACTCTCTAGGCCAGTCACGCACTGGACAAAACCAGCCACATACCATTCACTCCAAGCTTCCCATGTTGCATGTACACTCCCTATGAGTGGCCGGTCTGCTCTCATATTGTCATGTTATGAACAGTGAATTATACATGATGCTGCAGGACAGTCAGTCTGCTCTGATCTGCTTCATCAGGATGTAGGCATCTAGAATGTCTGTCTAAAAATCAATTTTTTGTAAATTTTTGTGAATTGAGAATTAACCTCTGTTGCGTCTCTGCAGCCACCCCACCCACATTCCATGTAGGAAGTGCTATGTTGAAACTAGTTTTCCGAATACAGTATATAAAGTGTGATAACGTGTTCATAAGAACTCGGTGGTTTTGCGTACAATGGCACATTGTGTGATTTTTTTTTTTTTCTTTTAAAGAATAGTGCCCAGAAGAGGCTGCGGACTATTTGCAACAATGTACTTGAGTGTGATAGTGAACCTAATGCATGTCCTAACTTAATTCCATCCAAGCAGTGTTAAGAGGCCGTGATCAACTATGTCCTCAAGTGCCACGTTATTGAAAATTATAATAATTTTGCACTTTTTTTTTTTAGAGAATAATGACTGTGTATCACCGCATTGCTAATTACAAGTTTCTTCTGATTTTTTTTATTTTATACTCCTTTCTTTCTTTCCTTTGTCATCTCCCCTTAGTCTGCTCGGTGATTATATTTTTCCATGCTGGACAAACCTGTGCATGTGTATTATCTCTGCGTGGACAGATGTGATTAATACAGACGTTCAGCAGTGACGTCTGTGGTGCCACTCCCCAGACGCAGACACGAACATAAAGAGCATGGAGCAGGGCAGAATGATGGAAATGTTGTGTGGTTTTTATCCATTCAATGTCAAAATGCTTCAGTCTTTGTGTAAGTGCCTTTTTTATTTTATTAATTTTTTACATTTTATGCAACAATGACTATTATCTGTGTCTGCATGTTGTCTTAAGCTTTATAGGACTTTTTAACTTATATATAAATATATATATTTATCCTTTTTCACATCAGTGTCACTGACATGGATCATTTTCAGTCGATTATAAAAACCGTGTCCTTCGGTGAGTCACTCTGCTCCTCTGCTAACTTGAGCTTGTGAATGACTAGCGCACCAAGTGAGTCACTAGCTGCGAGTGAGCATGAATGAACATCGACCGTTATTGATGGTCAATCAGAGAGGGCAGGGGAGGGTCGGCGGTGGAAATGCGGTAGCTGCAGTGAGGTTGCACATTTTCATGGCCACACCCAGGCTGCCTCGTGGGAATAACTTTAACAAGCCTGGGCTAATTTTTCTTGCAGGCTGAGATCCAATCCGACATCGTTTGAATAGCATTTAAATATTGTGTTTGTGCGTGCAATTTGGAACGGTTGTAACGTACTGGTGGTTGGATCAACGCTGCAGCTGTGCAGGTGGGCTGCATGAGCCAAAGGAAGGAGTAATGTTCCTGTGAAGTAATTGCAAAAATGTACCAGTATGTGCTGTTGACACAGGGTTAACAGATCTATGACACAGAATGTAAGTATTAATTATGCAGAGTGAACCTCAGTACGGCTGTGTGTACTTGACCAGACCGGAAAACATATTCAGATGGACAACACATGTACATCTAACTACTGGAAAAGTCCTCTCCAGCAGGAAAAGAATGCAGGACTAAGAAGTTTTTTGTTGTTTTTTTCTGTACTCGCTTCGAAACACAACATACGTCTTTTGTGAGTTTTAGGTTTTGGTTTTCCCACGGTTTTCCCAGGTTTAGTTTTTCACACTTTTCTACTGGTGACCTAATTGCTCACCATTGTGACTTGTAAAATTCGAACAGTGCTGAACACAAAAGAGCCCAAAAATGAGTAGCTGGAGGGTAGAAAGACGTAAACGGGACTGTGCTGCACCGATCTGTGTGTAAATGTAATAGGCTAATGATTTAAGTTTAGGCTAAACCAGGTCTAACCCCGCACACGCACACACATGCGGCTGAAGCGTTGCTGTAGAACACTTGGCTGTGGGCTGGTCTCTGCAGGGCCAGTGGTGAGGAGCGGTGGGCCTCTCAGCAGACCAGCTGGAATGTGGACCATATGTAGCAGGCATCCTAGGAATGTAACTCGGCCTCGCTAAACTGACCGACCTGAAGACGCAGAGAGAGAAGGGGGGAGAGAAGGAGAGGTAGAGGGAGAGGAGTGCAGAGTGGAAAAAAAGGGAGGAAAGGATAAAATGATGGTAGAGGGGAAAAATGATGATAGTGAAGGGCAAAGGAGAGGGAAGGAGGTGGAAGAGTGATAAGGGAAGATGGGATCTCTGGAGGTACAGGAGGACAGGCTCAATAAAGTGTGAGGGAGGAAGGGAGGGTGGAGATAGAGAGATCATGGAAAGGTAAACATACTGTAAGATCTACGGAATATACTGCAAATTAGGCAGATTAAAGGTTTATTTAGATTTTTACAGATTAAAGGTTTATTTTGATTTTTACAGATAAGCCGTAGCTACGTCTCTGGTATCGTCTCTGTATTTGTCATATAAAATCCTGCAGTTGTCAATTGTTTTAAATATCACCTACATACAAATTTTTGTCACCTCCCCACAGAAAAGGAAAATCCATTTGTCAGCCCCTTTATGTAACGGTAGTGTTTCATAAGCTGGAAAAAAATATAGGTGCATATTTTTAATTGCTTGTTGTGTTATTAATGTTAATGTTATTGTGGCGGTAGCGTTTGTTGCCGTATATGTGCGACTCTTCGGTCCACAGTGCACTTCCAGCTCACTAGCTCAGGGTGAAAGTAATTTTCTCTGCGCTGTTGCTGTAGAGCTTTGTGCTCTTAGGCCATAGAGGTACAGCTGGGGCCAGAACAGCAGGAAACACACGAGTACATAGATACACACACTTATGGAAACCTTCTTCTCTATCTCGTCAGAGGCCTGTACGCACACATACGCACACGTGCATACGCTAGCGTTTTGTTAGATTAGGTGCTTACCATAGTTAGAATTGGAATCCTATAAAAACGATACAGAATAAGTATAAAAGGTGACGCTGTAGAAAAGTCTTTGGAGTAAAGATAAATTAAAGGTTTATTTTTATATGCACTTTTTGTAGTTGTACCTTTATGTAAAAAAAAAGGTCTTTTGGCCTGATAATTTTAATGGGTTGGACTAAATTTAGACTTAATTGGTAACTTGGGTGTCAAACATACGACCCGCGGGCCAAAATCGGCCCGCTATGGGGGTTCAATCAGGCCCACTTGATGATTTTTGAAAGTAAAAAAAATGCACAAACACTTCATGTACATGTTTTCTTTTTAAAAAAATTATATTTCATCCAGTATGACTATAGTGGGAAAACATGGACTTACTGTTATCTTGACATCTAATCAGGGGACACTACTAGGATTAGACTCAATCCAAGTGGTCTCTTCCACTCTTTTGATTATTAGTTAATTTATTTAATTAAAATATAAATACTGGCTTGTGTCTTTTAGGTAAAACGTGCAACAAATGATCTTGTGGACTTCCTATAATGACCGTATCATCTTTCACTTTGTGGAGAGAGCAATTGTCTTCTTGAGCAATCAATACAGCGCATTAGCATTAGCATCCCTTTGTGGCCGTCTCCTGATGAATTTGAGTCCCATATTCATTCTCTGTTTTTCGGTCTCCACCTACTCCTGTGGGGAATATCTGGCTGTTAAGCTGCTAAATGCACCGCTGTGTTCACCCGGTTAGTCACCAACAGTGTCGGCCCACTGCATGGAGCTGGCAGAGGCAGTGTGGACGTTTCCGTGCCTATAGGGCTGCTGTATATTTACATAAAACAACTTTTCACGGCGACAACAGGGTTGGAACTGTCAGAAGAGGGACAACACTCTCTGGTTTGTACCAGGCGTTGGCAGCTACTTACAGTATATATGATAAATGCCTGATAAATAGGGACATTTACCCAGAGAAAGGGAATGGACACAAACAGATACAAAGAGACACAATGTTCTCTTTGACACTCTTCTTCCCAGTGGTAGGAAGAGATGACAGCCAGAAGGAGCGCACAAATCTTCCCTTTGTGCCGGGCACCTTTACAGGCATTCACAGCCATGACTTCCACCCCTCTGTTTCTAGGTCTCGGCGAACTATTCTAGAGCCACTGTGAGTTCTGCTTTTCAATGGATTGATATATGATCATCAGCATCGTAACAGCAAAACCACATATGTATGTTAATCAAAGTCATGCTGTGTCATTTTGTCATCTGCGCTGGAGGAAACACCAGGACCCGGTCGTCGGCCCGTTGTTATATAACACCGCTGATGCAGATAATATCTTGAGTCCTTTTCTTCTTCTTCACACACATGCGTTGACACCACATTCTTTTTTTCACCCCCTCGGATGCTCGGCGTAAAATCCTGCAGGACACTTGACGGGACTTTTAATGGAAGTCCCATTTCCTTTTTTCCTACCTGCTGATTTCACATCACTCAGGAAGTCGGAGAATTCACAAGCTGAGCTCTCGGGATCAAAAGAAGGTCGGAAACAAACTGCAAAACACATCTGCGTGCGGAATGACTGAATAGGAAAATTGCTGGCAGATTGTTGGATTGTCGTGACGAAACCCACGTTTTTTCGGGGCGTTCAAGGGGCAGCGGGCGTTTCCTTGTTGAGATACAAAGGTGTGCACACGTGTCCGAGCCACGCGCTGCGTCTTACAAGCTCCACCCTTAATGCCGTATTTCAGTACATCCTTCTCCTCCGACTCCATCACCCCACCCCCACCCCCTTAAGTATAACAAGGAACCTTTTACCCCTGAGATTACTGAATGTTTCCTGTCCATGCAACAGCTGAACCGGGCTCAACCTCACACCAGACACATGAAGGCAGTGTTCACAGTCTCAGTCAACAGTTAGAGAACACCCATGTACTCTCCTGCTCTCGTTTCAATCATCGATTCATACCCCAGTAAAGCAGACGCACAAATCAAGGTTATAAACCAGGGAGAATGTGGCTCCACTCCTACACATATGCATACTTTCACCATTGCAACGTGATATTTGATCGTTCACATGCCGCGTGTTGAGAGAATGCGCTGGTTGTGCTGCATTGAGTCAGGGTGTGGACTCCCCCACCCCCCATCCTGGTCTCCGCACATCCATGCATGTATTTAGCTCGCATGCCTCATGCATACACAGCACTGCATCGGCGCGCATGTGCCAACGCGAATGCGTTTGCACTGATAGGTCCCACTCACAACTGGCTTGCATCCCAGTTTTGGACATCCTGGGTCCTGTGGTGTGACTGATGAGCAGCTGTGATAGAGTGATACGGGCCGAGCACGGGTCTCCATGTCACCCTGCAAAGTTGACTTTGTGTGTTGTTTCGTGGGTGTTGCAATGATGAGAACGATAAAAACATTGTGTTGGAAAAGGACTGTCGAGGGCATGAGTCGGATTTCGAATGTTGGTGGTTCGTTGGAAATCAAGTGCAGGTTATTAGAAAAAAACTTAAAGCATCGTAGCCTGGGGAGAGTCCCTGAGATTATTTTTAAAATTGCACATTTCACAATAGATTTAGCCAGTGATGAATGACAGCAACTGAGGTAACGCTATCCTTCAGTGTTAATGTCCTGATCCAAAAAGTCTTCAACCAGTGGCACATAGGCTTAAATATAAGACACACCCAAGAAATGAAAACTACACACATGCTTCATTGAGTCGTAAAACTGTTCTGCTAAACTTTTGTTTTTACTGATTAAAAACATGCTTTTGGTAAAATAACCTCTTAAAGACACGGCTCCAAACTACGAGCTTCTTCATCTTTGAGATTTTATTTCAGCTGGCATCCTCTAATCTGCCTTGCTGCCATCTACTGGCCATTTTTCCCATTAATAATTGTTCATGTGCAGAATTATCGCTATCATGAATACGATGCCATGCATGACCCGTTAAAGCAGTTTTGCCCCCCCTATGGGACAGAAATGTTTTATGATTCTTTCCTTTTTTTTTTTATCTTACCTTTGATGAGAAATAAAATCTTTACAAAGGTCATAGGGTACCATAGAAAGATTGTGGTTGCCAAATCATTCCTTACGAAGCCTCAGGGCAACATTCGTATGGCAAACATTCACAGATGTAATCGTTCCTTTTTCCTGTTTGTGTTTTTGTCATACTTGAGCGATTAGATATGTGTCAAAAAATGAGAAAACAATGGACAGCCACAATCACGGCCGCCCTACTAAAACAGTTACATCACAATGGAAATGGATAAGGGTGTCTCCTAAATGCAATAGGGAGCGATCGGTACGTGATCTTAGCCCCATTCACAGTATTTGATTAAACTTGTAGAGAAAAGTCATTTTCGGGAGGTCATACGCTCGTACGTAGACTTACTGCTGAAGAATTGTTTTTGTGAAGCAAAACACTCGTCTGGGTACACTGCGTTCTCCACTCTGTGCATGTAGTCTACATGCTTAACATACTGGGAATAGCAGCATAGGAATATTGGGGATTTCCAACAAATCAACAATGGCTTGACGTCACATGTGGATTCTAAGAATTACAAATCCTGTTTATTTTTTCAGGAACTTATCAGTATACTATGTTGCTTTTGATCAATAGTTGAAATACAAGAAAAAATATATTTTTCTGAATTTCTTTTGTCATTGCTATATGTTTAAAGGCAAATTACTGTATTTTTATTCATCTATGAGAAACCTTTATTTTTTTAGGACTTTTTCGGGATCTCATTAGTGTAGTATATTACTGTGATTAATGGTTGACGTACCAAAAAAACTTTTTTTTTCTCAGGAACTTATCAGTATACTATGTTGCCTTTTTTTTTTCTAAATTTTAACCATTAAAAATGTTATTACCATGTATTTAAGGGCAAATGAGTGCATTTTAATTCATTTATGATTCAACTTTTATTTTTAAAGACATTTCAGAATATTATTAGTATAGTTTTATACTGTGCTCAGTAGTTTTAATGATTTGAATTTTAACCATCCAATTTGGATTTCAACCCTAAAAAACACATTAGTGTATTTTAATTCATTTTCCCATGAAGGTGAATGGAAAAAGTTCACACATCAAAACATCCACACATTTGGATAGTGGCGATAAAAGCCATCACGATGTATACCTGATCATTTTATATTTATTTATAATAACACTGCACATTAGATAACATCAATAATTTGTCATAAACTCTTAATTTGTAAACAAACTTATTCCTTCTTTTGGTGATGATACATCACTTTCGGCAGTTAAAACAACCTTTTTTATTTTTATGTCTGGCATCAACATAAACTAGAACTCCAGGATTAACTCTGACTCATTTAGTTTGAACTGAATAGTTTGGAGATGAGCTGACAGTTTCTCAAGTTTGGTGATTCCCCAGAAGGAGGCCAGATCTGTCATCTCGTGTCAGGTCTGTGTTACAAACTGGTTCAGGATCTGTTCTTCTTTAAACTGGGCTGATCCCTTGTCAGTTCTGTCAGCTCATTTTCTGGCATCTTCCTCCCTCTATCTGTTTACCTTTCTTCCTGTTCTTATTATCCCTGCCAGTTAAAACACAATCTGTCACGTAACAAGTAGAAGCTCACCATCTCTGCATTTGCTCAAAGGGAGAAAAAAAGCAAAGCCTCTGCCCTGGGTGTCATCCCTAACACTACACACCTACAATGGATCCTTCTGGATTGGAGTTCAACATCGCTGTCCAGAAGAACAGTCAGATTTCTCTCAAACTACTTGCAGTTGAAGGAACCTTAACGTGTGTGTGTGTGTGTGTGTTTGTGCAGTCCAGAGCTTTTCCCTGTTGTTTGGAGCAGCATGGGGGTTCGCCGAGTTCCTGGAGGTTGCTGGGTTCGCTGAGCCGCTGAGAACTGGTTTGCCCAAAATCCTGTCCTTGAACTGGGCGAGAAAAAAAGAAGAAATGCTGCTAGGGGAAGGCTTTTCAGAGCGACTGACTGCAATAGTTGAAGCTCATCCAGCTGACTGAAGTCCAGGCGAGACAAATCTTCGGCTACTCTTAAGAATTATACAGTGGCAGACTGAAAAAGACACGTAGGACCTCATATCATATCATGGGCTTTTCTTGTCGTCGCACATGATTAAGCAGTGGTTAGATTTTCAATACTGTTTAACAGCACAGAACGTAATCCCGGTTTAGTTGCTCTGACGTTTACATTAAAAAAAAGACACTCATTTGCAAATGAGGTTTTTTTTTTCTCAAGGTAAAATAACAAAATGCTTGACATGTTAGTAAAGCAGTAACACGCCCCGGGGAGTAGCTGAGCCTAAATAGCAAGAAAAATATCTCTTTCAGGCCTCTATGGCTGCTGTAAAGTGAACTGCCCCACAGGACAAGAACTGTTTTCTATCAGCAGTTCCAGGCTGAAACCAGAGGCCAAGATATTTAGCGAGCAAATACCTCTGCATTCAATTAGAAGCAGAGGCAGAGAGAATGCTAAAACAGTAGGCTGGCATGTCTGATGAAGACTCCATGCTGGTGCGCACACGCAACTTGTTTGTTTAAGTGTGCATGCACATTTAAACACTTAGTAAAGTTCAGCTTTCTTAAATGAGGACAAAAGAATGTCGTAAACCCCCCCCCCCCCTTGTATCGTTCCGCTTTTATTTTTCTCTCTTATTCACCATAACAAAAGTTTCTTTAAGCTACGACTGAAGGTAGCATCTGCACTGGTGTAGTTGTACTTCTGAGAACTTTTTTTTCAAAATCACATTGAATTTCCATTGCTTCCTTCCATTTTTGTCCACTAGAAGGCACTCCAACCAAATATGTAACAAGTTTTACCAACGCAATATAAAACTTGAGGGAAATCTAAATATTATAGTGAGCAGCTGGTGGGGGCAAAAACGCAATTTTTCTTGCTTGATTCAAGCAAGGTCTTCGTCCGCCGCTAACAGTTCTGCATACGATTGAATGAACTCAGTCATAGTTGAGTGGTACTTTAATGATGCCTTGCATAGTCTGCAAATAACTGTTTCTCTTTGTTATTTCATCACATTTTTTTTTGGTTTGTTTTTTTTTTTTGGAAATCCAAACACTTTTTAGGTTTCGAGGAGTTGAGATTTCCTGCTGGTGCGCTGCTTTGCGCCATCTTGTAATGTAAAAATACCGTTGATGCATAAGTTGCAAGTTCGAAAGTCACTTCCCGCATTCGAATGTTCTCATTTTTAAAATAATTTATATTCTATTCGAATAGCCAAAATAAAAGCAATGAAAAATTTCCTAAAGATAAAACATGAGCAATGGTTGCTTTATTTTTTTGTACTTAATGTTAGCGGACGTTTTTAAAGATGTCTTTGCTTGATTGACAGGTGTCCGATGTCATGATCGTATTTTCCAGCAGGTGGTGTCTCTACAGTGAGGTGAGATGCTCGTTGGCTAACCTACAGCAGTTCTTCACTGGCAAGCTTTATGTGTTCCTGTACCAACTAAAGCTGCCAGCTGAAGAACTGTTGTGGTGAGCTCTTTCCTGCACCGGAGACTGAACTGTCGCTTTTTTGTGGCACACACACACACACACACACACGCACACAGACGGTGGACAAACATCACGTCAAACCTCTTTGGCCTTTTCCCAAATCCAGTCCCTCACTTGTCACTTGTGCAGCACGTTCATGAGCTCGTGTTCATACCATGACACCTGCTGCTTCATGTAACAAACCCATTGCATCATGGAACCTGTTCATTAGAGAGAGCTTAGCCTTATGACAACTGCATTTCCCTTTAATGACACGTTGTTATAATGTCTTGGCAGAGTTTTTGTTTCAGCTGGTTTGCATCATCCTGAGAAAAATAAAGTGCGATGGTGCATAAGGAGTCTTATTTCTACTTCCTTCCCCAGTATGGACACTCTGGACCCTGCAATTGAACTACCTTAACTCTCCGGACTATAAGCCCTAACACTGCGGCTTAAACAATGATGCGGCTAATTTATGGATTTTTACAGACTATTGACTTTTCTGGTAGGCTACTGTGTCTTATACTAGTAGCGTATGTCTTTGAATGGCTGTTTGCGTATAGGTGCGTGGGGCATGCAAGAGAGAACGCTAGCTAATGTTGGGAGCAGTTTGAGCCTTGTCATGTTTGGAGCGTGAGTTGGTTATACAGGAGCTGTCAAAACTCTGTTTATGTTCTGTTGTGCTTGGTGTGACTGTTTCTGTTTACCTCTGCTGTGGACAAGCACAAAGTGAAGGAAGCAGGTCACTAAGTCTCCCCTGTGCATTCCAACTATGACTGAGGCTCCAAAGCGGGAAAGAGCTAACGTGTAACCAGCCGTGTTACAGGCACGGTTCGGAAAAAAGTGAAAAAATAGTCTCAATCGTCTAGAAATTACGGTATATTGGGATTTGATCAATTTTGGAACTGAGAAAAGTAGATGAATGACCAAGGCTCAAACTGCTATCGACTGAGCCACTTTGAGTACGTATCACTTTTAGAAACAAAGGGAGTTCGAGGTTTTCCCTTTTTACCTTTTAAAGGTTTCGTAAGAGTTTGTAATGAATCATGAAACTCCCAAAATACAAACAGCATGAATAAAAGGCAGCTGCCGTCTGCTCTCTTCGGCACGCTTCTGCTCGTACTCCTCCGTGCAATGGAAACCATAACTTCTTCTCGGTAAAACGGTAACAAGTGTTCGGCCGGCGAGTCCAAGAGACTGACAGGCCTCTCGTCTGTTACCCTCCTCTGAAATAAATCAAACTTCAAGAGCGAGAGGGCAATGCCTGAAGCAGGATATGAGAACAAACATGTCCCTTTAAAAGCTGCCAGCCAGAGTCAAACAGAGGGAAGGAATGTTCTGGGGGCCTTAACAGAACCAGATGCCCCAGCTTACTCTGCTTTAACACACATGCTTCCACTGGCCTCAACTCCTTCCCTTAGATCTCCCTTAACTCTACAAGGGCTGGTGGGACTCTCTTCTCCTCCCATGGGGAGTAAGCTATCATCTTCATCAACTACTTGTAATTTCCTCTGGCTTTCACTCCCCGTCTATGCCTCCACGTCTTCGCTGTCATGTCCATTTGCTCGGCAGACATTTCCCTAAACTCCGTCACAAATGAAACTCTCGTAGCTGAAGGGAAACACCGACACGGTATTATTCCACTCTCTTTGTTGTACATCCTTTTCCAAGCAGCGCTCAGTGTGCCATGACAGTGCACGCAGCAGTCGGGGTTTGACATTTTCACATTTCTTCCAGGTCAGCGGCTCGTCTGTCTGGTCAGCTCCACCAGAGTCAGCCGGTGAGTGTACGGAAAATCAAAGGGTACAGTTTCATAGAGGAAGGCTTAGAGGCTTTTGTATGTAGGAGTGTGTGCCGTTCTATCCTCCTCATTACTTTTTTTTTCCTTCTTATCCACAGAGATTTCCCACACCACTGCTACTATACCTTGGTGGCCTGTTCCTGATCCTGCTGTGCAGGAAATCAGCCGCCCAGATGGAGAGGAGCAGACGGCTTCTTCGAACAGGAGCCTGATTAAAGGTGTTCTGGGTAAAAAAAAAAAGAAAAAAAAAAAGTTAAACATATATGAATATATAGGTTCATTTATGAATACATTTAATATATATAGTATGTATATATTTGTACATATGTTGGTATATATACGTTTATATTTTTTATATTTTTTTTACATAGAAAGCAACAATATTGAATTTACAACGTGTTAAGTCAGTCCGTTTTACTATTTTACAGCATTATCGCATTTCAACTTTTCTTCTTGAACCTTATTCTGAAGGGTTAAGGACAAACGCTGATATCCTCGGCTTCGGTGGTGACGACTCATTCAAGAGTCACAATGAGCTAAATTTGTCTGCTCTTTTAACCTCGTGTTCTGGTGTTTAAAGACCGTAATTGTGCTTTTGTTTAATAGCAAGCGACAATGGTTTTAATGTTATTTGTTCTATTTATATCAAACGACACTGAGAATAAGTGTGGACGTTCTAGATTGTTCCGTGTTGGATTATTTGCTTTGAATTTCAAATCGTGCTTTTTCTACTTTGAGTAATTAGGTCCTAGATTCACAGTGAACCTTTCCCCCAAGCTTTGCTCTGCTGCAGTGCCCTTTGGAACATGCACTACTGTCACATCTTGTATAAACATCAGGTCATTGACACCGTCCCCTGCCTGTAAAGCCTGACCGTTCCTGTCCACCTGACTCACATTGACAGTCCAACACCCCACCTGCAGTCTTTCTTTCTTTTAATTTTTTTTTCCCTGATTGCAGGATTTCCTTTTTTCCTTTTTTTTTTTTTTACAAATGAACAGTTGTGATCTTGAAGTGTGGTCCTGTAGCGTCTGCAGGTCGCCTCTTGAGTCAAAGCAAGAGGAGGCTCCAAGGCCACGGCTGAAGAGGTTTACAAACCTCTCCTAAATTCCTCCCTGTGGGTGAAATCATGTGAAAGCTGCTTAGGGCAGATTATCCCTCGCCTTGACGGCTGCAGGCAATAAGATCCTTGAGAGTGCACTTGATTCAATACCGACTGTGACGCAACTCAAACCTGTGGTGCAGCTCTCTCCCTCAAGCCCCAGTGACCTTTAGCCACAGAGAGAGAAGTGCATCATGTGGCCTTGAACACAGAGGGACTATCAGAGGCAGAGCAAAAACACTGAACCAATGCATACATTTCTAGGAAAAATATATATACAGTATATTTTCCTTGTGGTGTATGCATTAGTTATATATGTATGTATAAATCTACATATGTATACATATATACATGTAAATGTAAATATATCTATACATATATATGTATATGTATATTTATACATATACATATATTTTTTAAATCAAATATAGACTAGAGGGAAGACTTGAGGCAGAGCAATATACTGTATATATTTTTTGGAAATATATATATATATTTGTATTTTTATTCCTAGAAATATATGCATTGGTTATATATGTGTACATATATGTTATATATGTATACATACAGTGTATATGTGTGTACATAAATATATAATAATACATATATTTGTTATTATATATACATATATAATTATTTTTTATTAAATATAGGCTGAAGGAAGACGTTTTGTCCCAGTGTAGTTCAGTGAAGTCCAAAAGCCAGTGTGCGCTCAGGAGAACTGAGTGTCCTCACATTCGCAGTGATATTTTATATAATAATGAAAGGACTTGAGATTCACTGCTTTACATCTTTGTTAGGTTCATCTTCTTAGTTGTGGTTATGTCTGCAGACGCAGACAGTCCCCCCTCCCCCCTTTTTTTTTTCTTCAGCCGAAGCCGTGGCCAGCTCTTCTGTAAAAGCTACAATTTCAGGAGCCATCGCACACAAGCCACAGAGCTAAATATAACAAACACACCGTCTGGACAACAGCTGTAATCTTTGATTTAAAAACCAGAAAAATATATAAAGAGATTTTTTTCTTTCTTTTTTTTTTTTTTTGTAAATCATTGAACAAAAAATGTGAAGTCTTACTGGCAAGTTAGGCAAGATAAACACTTCGGAATCCCTAAGAGTTAATTAAGTTTGTTTTTATTTATGTTATAAATTGTATTTGATTACAAAAAAATATATTTGTATATTAGTAGTAGTTTGACTTGAACTTTTGTCTTTCAGCTCAACCAGATATTTTATCCGTATTTTTTGTTTATGTTTACAGGTTCCAGGGGGATCATTGCCTCTTATTCCTCCCGAGTGGGAGTTGAATATAAAATTAGCATTTTCACTTTTAGGCTAGACAAAAAAAAGTACACAAATGTCAGCGAGTCACTGACGAGAAAGGAAGAGTTGTTGTAGAATTGTCAGTAGCTGAAATGTGGCGAGGTCTGGTTTGTCTCGTGCTGCTGTTCTCCACGGTTGAAATGTCTCGTCTGTTTTGTCTCCCGTTTTTAGTGCCGCTGGCCGACTTTGATAAACGGTCAATAAATGAAACAGTAAAACAGAGACAATAAATGTCTGTATGAATTTTTGTCACAGCACCGTCTCTGGTGTGAATGAAATTGTGCAAAGTTCAGATTTTAGAGAACCTGATCACAAAAATATAAAAAAAGTCTGAAAGGAGTCTTACTAGATGTTGTCCCTGTAGGCCATACGTGTCAAACTCAAGGCCCGGGGGCCAAATGCAGCCCGCCAAGTCGTTTTGTGTGGCCCGTGGTAGTTTAAAAAGCATTTAGTTAAGTCCATGCAGAGTTTCTTAACCTAAGAAGTTTTTTTTATTACACAACAATGAACAATATTTGTAGCTTGAATAAATAATAAGTGACTTATGGACTGGTACTGGTCCACAGACCGGTGGTTGGGGACCCCTGATCTTTACAGTCTTGCAGTTACAACTGGCCCTTTAAGGGGAACTGTATTGCTGATGTGGCCCCCGGTGAAAATGAGTTTGACACCCCTGCTGTAGGTGCTACAATGAACAGTTTTACTTCTTAAATTAAATAATCTGTGTTCAAATTTAGAATTAGGGCAAGATTAACATTGTTTTTTAGGTTTATGTTTTCAAAAAATTAGGGTTAGAAAGGATTGGGTTTAGGGTTATTAGGGTAAGGGTTATAAAATGTGTTTGGTATTGATTTATTGCAATATGTACAATTTTGTGTCTAACATTGTTTCAATTGGTTTGGAAAGCCTTGTACTGTACAGACGGGGATTGACAGATTATACAACGTGGGCTACACCCACTCACCACCGTGCTTAAGCCAGCAAGCATCCTGCCTCAAGGCAGGTCTGCAATTGATGTGTTCTACGCGTCGCAACCAATACTTGGCAGGTACTGAGCTCCTGAAATAGACGGCAGTTCACAGATAGGTGGGCTGAGGAGAGAGACAGAGAGAAGTGGAAAATGTAAAGAAGTAAAATGTGTGATGGAGGACAGTGTAACAAAAGGAAACAGTAGTGGGGTTGTGTGTCTGCAATCTGCTGCCTGTATTCTGTATATACGTGTGTGTGTTTGTGTGTGCTCTCATTGACGTCAGGGAAGGTGTTCTGGTAAGACCAGTGATGCTCTTCAGTGAAGGTTCATTGTGTCATTCTTTGGAAAGTCTGAGCTGTTGTATCTAGACAATCTTGTTAAGTGGTTGCGCAATCATGCACTCACACACGCACACAAGGACAGAACGGAACATGTAAGTGAATCTTTACACGCAGTTGCCATCACAGCCAAAACACACGTGACACTGTATGTTTCCCACGAACGGTAATATGAAGCTGAACACCGAGGCCCATACATGTCGATGTGCAGGAGTGGGCCAAAGACGGGACAGGCTTAGCCAACGCAGTTATAAATAACTGTACAGTCTGCAACCTTAAGACGGTTTTGTCTGGGTGGAGGGCTTTTAGAGCTCGGTGTAACCTGACAACTTAATCCCGTGTAAGAGTAAGGAGCAGAGAGACAGCGATAAGTATGGAGCTGGATTTTGAAGCTACTCTTGGTTATTAGCACTTTATTGAGGACACGGTGTGTTCTTTTAATCGAATTGGTTGTCCAAGGCAGTGTTTCCCAAACTATCGTTCTGGGAACCCATATTTACTTTATAAAACCTTCATGACCCAAGTCAATAGACATTATTCGTAAACTCCTGGGAAACACGATGCAAGATGACACAAAAAAATATATATTTCTTGCAACCCACCTGAGGCTTCCGATCCAGTCTTTGGGAAACAATGGTCTAAGCTGTTAGTTAGTTAGTGGGAATAATAAAGGTCAAGATGGAATCTGTAAAGATTACAATTAGTAAAAAGATTGAGGAAGGACTAGGCATGGGGTAGGGTTAGGATGGTTAGCAATTTAGGTTCTGGGGGTTAAAGTGAGGGGGAAAGATTATGTGTGGTTATTTATGTGTGGTTTGTGGTAAGTGTTGGCTTAAGTTAAGTTGTTTAGTTAAGTTTTGGTTACAGTATTATTATTTTTATTATAATTTATGTTTTCATATTAGGCTTCATATCAGGCTATAGTAAGGCATGTTTTGGG